CGGTGCGTTCTACATAGTCTCCCTGAACACAAGACCAAGTTGCGACAACGAGGTCAACCCACTTCCATAGATACAGTGTTTCTGGATGAAACAGTAGGCTTTCTTGACTCGTTAACCTGAAGACAAGACAAGAGACTAGCACATTTTTGCCGGAATCGAGGAAGAGTGCTTCGGAAATAGCGTCAACAAGAATGAACGAGTAAAGCCAATTGAGAGCTGGTCAAGAGAAATTTGCTGTCCTCTTCTGGTGGGATTCATCTTCGAATCTCATTACCGAACACTTTCACTCGAAATAAAAGTGAGCTCAACAAGAAATATATGTAATGCATGAGATGGCCAAACGAATTATGAACATTTTCGTTGATAAGTAGAGTTTCGAGACTACCAGTAAATCAGTTATATGAAATGTATCCACACTATTTCGCTTAAGGTGTGGCAGGACTGTTATTTAGATTTTCGTACAATCGTATGAATAAATCTGACATTATCATTGAATTTCATATAGCCTTGCTTCGCCACCTGGATGGGAACACTTTTTGGAAAAGTATGGCTCTGTGAAAGTCAACGGAAACGTCAGCTGTATCCACAGGATTGTGGGAAACTTCAACTACAAGTCGTTCATCACCTTAAATGAAATAGGATGAGTACCTCAGAATCGCCAATTTAACCATGAAAATTGAGTGTGATTGTAATAAGCTTATGGCATTCGATGCGTTTGTTCCTAAATATTGTTTTCCCACTCTGACGATGTCTGTCATATGACAGACACAAGAGCAACATGGATTCATCGGAGTCACAGGACTGTGAAATTAGGACTGTTAGTCCCATCCAACAGTCTTCCGTCCAGGGCATCATATTTCTTTGGTATCGGCTGAAATTAATTCACAAATTTCTTCCAACCAACTTTTCCTTTTCAAATGAAAGGTCGCCTCACAATAAGTCACTATTGGTTTCTTCATACAACACAAAAGACTAACCAATCACATCACATACATATTTTGAATTATCTTTTGTTGCCCAGGCAACATGTGTGCCTCGTATTGCTTGACAAAAAGTGAGTCTTCCTTTAGCTCCAGCTTGGGTTGAGCTGAAATCCTCACTGGTTTTGCAACTTTAGAGACACGCTCGAAGATCATTTTGCCATAGGCCTCCGTGGTCTGGGCTCTATTCCTTTTGTGGTTACAGTTGAAAGGTTTTACAGATCGTGTCACCCATTGTTGCTCCATAAACAGGTTGTGCCCAAAGTGGGACTTGAGTTACTTTAATTTAGACATGATGATTACTTAAAACTTCACTTATACGTTTACTCCTATCCATGTTAGTCTTGTACCTTAAAAGTTGTGCTACACAATCTGCTCTATGAAATGCAAACAAAGTAGCGCCATCTCAATTAACAGATTTGGGATTATGTTTTCGATACGACAGGGGGCTGAAAATTTAGTCAGAAGTGACTCTTGTGAATTATAGGCTTGAGGATAGAGTGAAGGTTTAGACATCCTCGAATGATTTCGTGTAACAATTTCATTGACACAATCAGACATGGGTCCGGTATTATGCAATTCGCTGAAGAAAACAAGTCATTAGAATTAAAACTAAAAACGAGCAATGAGATGTCATACCTGCATCCGCGTACACGCAAACACATGCATCAATCTGCATACACATGAACAGACACATCTTATTAAACTACTTGAAATTACTTTTTGTAATTATTTTTAGTAGGTATAGATGAATCACTCTTGAAGTCATAGTAAGAATGAGTTCCAGGTCTGATAATGTTAAGGACATTATTCATTTCACAAAAAGCGGTTTTCTCCATGACCATAGTTGCCGAAAGGGTCTCGTCAAAATCGTCTTGGGCGCTATCACTACATCACACTTTCTCATATGATATGAACACCAGCTCCACAATGATGCATCATGCGATTCCTCGCAATTGGGAATTTCGCTGTGTGTTTTTGGAATGTCTTCAACCCCATTGTTTGTTTTGAGGTCAACAGAAGAAATCACGATCTCCGTTCACCTTTAAGTAGTCTTTCGTTGGTGACATTGCACACTTGTCTTGCTCGGTCAATTACTCTAGTTCTGCCAGTTTAAGAAGACTTTCTTGCGTGGAAACGAAGCAATCTTCCCTTCCTAAAGCGAGGGTTTCACCGGGTCACACAGCTCCTCACTTTGCTTCCATGCCCATCTGTCGAGAGCATCCCATCTTGCCACCGCCGACCTCCATTTCAATCCATATTTACAGGCTCCGGTAGCAGACTGATTCGGTAGCCGGTGAGACATTCTAGTCGACAGTGTACATGCATGCATAGGCGTATGTTTGTGTGAATGTGTACGTGTGTGTTTGCGCGGGTGCGAGTAGTTGTGGGGCTGTTTGTGCGCATGTTTTCGCGTTAATTTGTATAAGCGTACATGTGATTATGTGCAAATAGTCGCCTGTGCTTGGCGTAAGATAGAGGATCACACGTACTTGATTCTTGCTGTAGCACACAGTTGCTGGTGAGCCTAACTGTCAAATTAATAGAAAGTTCCACATGTTCGAGTGAAAAAAAGATTGTCATTTTTCTATACTCGTTCATGCCAGACAAATCAAGGCAGTACATGAGACGGCTTTTGTCATTTGCGTTTTCTTTGACTTGCATATCAAAAAACAGCTTCAACAGTCTCTCCGGCAGAAATAAATCAAAATGCCCGGATCCCTTCACAGGCAGATTACGATCACAACTCAGTCTTAGTACTCCTGTACCTCCCTGCTCAGACAACTTTAGTTATGTTTCATCCTAACTCGTAGTCATGACGATTCAGTACCGTGATGACGACAACTACACGAACACAAACAGTACAATGGAGAATTTTCCTTCAAATCTAAATATCTTCGGCGGGTATATCATTTTTTCAGGCGCCTATACATCCGTAGAAACATAACATACATAATCTCGTTTTTGGATGCCACTCTGGAAGTAGTTATTTGACATGTGCCTCTTGCGTCCTAACGCTTGCTGCTCCAACCTTGAGGGGGTATGATGCAGTTTTTCCGAATCACTTGAAATTGGGCGGCTTGGTTGCTAATAGTGATGATGATGATGATATTGTTGCTTGTTTCATACTTGTTGGGTGAAGAGTTTCGAAGGTCGGTTCCTCTTGACCAGCCGCCGATTGGCTTTACTGCAAGATTCATGTTGACGCTGTTTCCGAGGCAACCTCCTTGAATTCGGGTGAAAAGGTGCTAAGCTTTCGTGCGTCAAAATGGCGGATATCATCAGAGCGAGGTACCATCGTCACAAAAAAATTCAAGCTAACGAGTCAAGAAAACTCGTGCCGTGATGTAGATTTGTTGATTTTCGTATCGCCAGAAGAAAGTTGATAAAAATGCATACCATACGTACGTAATATATGCAAAGAAAAGTTGGGTTCCTTGAATTGGGTTGTGACGATGATACCTTGCTGTGATGAGATTGTTGACGAAAATGGTTGAAAAATGAACCGCTCGGTAGGTAAAGGCATTCGTGATTGGTTTTGGAAAGATTTCGTTTTTCATTGTTTGACATTTCAAGTTAGAAAAGTGCGCACAAACTCATTTTTCTGGTGGCCGGCACCTCGCTGTGGGCAAAAGCGAGAAAAGAGCGATTTCCCCCATAAGGTGTGCATGTGAAAATGCATGCGATGCTCCCAAAAAAGTGAAACTTACGAGAGCACTTTGTTCAGACTTCACGTTTGCTTCTGGCCTTGTTTTCATTCAATTGTACTTTTTTCATGCTGGTTACTGGACCATATCGCGAACTGCAACTTTCCGTACCCTTCAACTGGGAGGATCCGATTTCACAAAGCTTTTGCACCCTTTTGTGCTCTTGAATAGGACAAAAAATGTGTGCTTGTCCAACGGAAAAGCGGCGGAGGTCCATTCGAGTTCTACCCGGTTCGGTTGCCAGCACAACTTTGTCTCGTTGCCATCTTGTCTGTATTTAGCACTTGCTACTGAGCAATTTGTCTTATCGCTTTGTTTTTATAACTTCTTAAGACCGTGATTACAGCATTTTGTGCATATGACCCTTGCAAATTAGTTATCTAAAATTTTGTTTATATACACCCTATCTACACAAAGAAGTCTACCCACCTCAGACTTTATGATGTTGTTGAAGACGTCGTTTCCCTCTGGCCATCTACACACGCTGAAGCTCCACTCTGCATCTCCACACCTCCACCTAAACACATACATACTTGTGCGTGTTCACTCGTGTTCACCTGTCTGTCTGCTTGCCAACATGTGTGTGTGCATGTGTATGTGTGGGTGTGTATGTGATTATGCCGGTATAACAACAGGAGTGCTGCTGTGCCCGTTTTTGCGTCCATCTATGCGCTGATAGGCACTGTTCTGCCTGTGTGTGTGTGTGTGTGTGTGTGAAATTCGCCTCCATGACTCAACTCTCCCTTTTGCCCTTCCACTAAAAGACGATGCTGACAGACGGCCAGTTCCATCGTTTCGTTCTGTACCAACGTTTAAGTCTGATAAGAGAATAGCAGACTTGCCCGGCCAGAAGTCCTACATGGTTGGTGAAATCATTTTTATCTGCCACCTTGTGCTTTTATCGTCATCTCACTGTCGTTCATCATGCCTTGTCGGTCTCCAGCCTCGTCTGTTCTCCTCTTTGCTCTCTTCTCTTTTCATGACTTTCCGCATTCTTTCATCTCTTTGCCTGGCATTTCTCTTCTTCGCCTGTCCTCTCGTTTCATCTTTGTCCGCTCCTCTGCTTTCCTGCCTCACGCACCATCCTCCCGTCTGTGAATCTGCACCATGGCCAGACGCACGTGTCCATCTGCCCCGACGATCCGGGCCGGGCTGGGCTGGGCCATTTCTGCCTCAGACAGAGGCGGCCCGACTATCCAGAGTCTGCCCGGTCTGACTGTGAAACTTTGTCGGTTCTAGACGGAATTCAGGCCGGTCATAAGCCGGTCTGGGGGTGTACTCTTCTAATTGCCTCTGTAGCCCTGATTAACCAGTTGGTGCCCTACCTCTGGGCGCCGGACTCGGCCAATCTGCACAGGCCCGACTTGGACTGTTGTTCTCTTCACCGGTGTCCATTCCAGAGTACTGGACTTTACCATACACACACACACATATATATATATATATATATAAAATCCATAGGACACATTCTGCATGTATTTGTGTGTATGTATGTGTGTATGAGTATATATATATATATGTATACATATGTATTCATATACACACATATATATATATATATATATAAAATCCACAGGGGACACACTCTGAGTATATTTGTGTATATATATGTGTGTATGAGTATATATATATGTATACATATGTATTCATATACACATACATATATATATATATATATAAAATCCACAGGGCACACACTCTGAGTATATTTGTGTATATG